GATAATTTTAAATTAAATTAAACAATGAATATTATTTTAAATACACTTCGAAGGACTTCGGAGTAAATGGAGTATTATGAAAAATATATATGTAATTTCCACTTCAGAGGTCTCTAAAGAAAACATAATGTTTTTGAAGGACTCCGGATGGAGTACTCCGGAATACTCCACCTAATTAAATTTACTAATGTATTTCTTGCTTCAAAGGTTAAATAGGCCTTCAGGTACTTCACAGTCAGTTCTTCTTTCTTTGGAAACTTTCTTGCCATTGGTATCAAAGGTATTTCTTGACTTTTCTTGGTCACTAGGAGTCAAGTTTTTGAGTGAAAAGGTTTGTAAACAATAGGGGAAGGATAGAAGTGACTCTTAAAGTTATATTTCAAGTTGTTTTAAGAAAAGTATTTAGACTTTATTAGCAAGGAAGTATAAAAACTTCTTGTGAACATCTTTTTTGTGTGTGATTAAAGGATTAGTGAAAAGAGTTTTTTGCAATATATAGAAAATATATATAATTTACAAATAGTTTAATAAAATAATTAATTTGACAAAAAATAAAAAATTTTTTTTATTAATGTAATGGTTTTTATTCGTCTTTTTAAAATATCTAGTCATACTTCTTATGGATGATGGTTATAATTTTTATTATTTTCACAACCTTTATGACCTTTCTTGTTAGATCAAAATAAAAAATAATAAAAAAGTAAGTAAATAGAAAAAATACCGTATACAGTATTTAAAAATACAGTATTATAATATAGTGAAATGGTGATCACGAAATGGTCTCCATAATCACCTGATCCCAATCCAATTAAAGCGTGCATAAAAAAGGGAATCAGGTATTACTTCATCATTGAATCACGAAATCGATTCTTTCTAACAATTATTATTCGTCATAGGTGGCATTTGTATAACGACAAACGAATGCGAATTTTACAGGCTGCAGCTCATAGGCGATGCGAGGAAAAGGTTTCTGAATCAAACATAAAATTGGCAAGCAGACGTGCCGTACTATATTTGTCAGCTTTTTAGTTCGAAATGCAAGACCTTGCATAAATCTAAAATATTTATTTATTTTTGATATTAATCCAAGAAACACCACGTATTTATGAATAATAAAAAAAAAACCCCCCTACTTTTTTTCTAAACAAAACAAAATTTCCGTCGAAAGACTTTTGAGTTAAAGGTATATAACCTTACATATATATATATATATAATATTTACAATCGAAAGAATATAAAAATACTTTTGGGGATATATCGTATTAAAATTAAGTAATAAAACTTTTGGAAAGAAAAGAAGTGATGTATATACAATATAAAAAATATAATGTATAGAGGATAAAAAAATTTTGATGTCTAAAATAAACCGGCTTTCAAGTGATTCTCGCCCAGAATGCTAAACACTTTTAGAGTGGGAATCTTTTCTCCGATCAAATCAATCAAATCATGAGTGATGCCCCAGTAGGCCTTCAACTTCCAGCACAGCATTGCTTCTTTTGCCCTAACCTCATGTTCCGATCTTGGTCTGGGGTAGTATGCGGACCACTCGGCCCAGGATGCAGAGACCAAATGTAGTTCTCGCAATTTTTGATGTTGAAATAGAGGAATGATGATATCCTGAAGTACCAAACTTGACACATGGCTCAAATCCAATACCAATGAAACCAAACTCTCGTTACATGTCATCAGCAAAGAGGCGAGACCTTTGGCGGTGAAATTTTGGTGACTAGTTTTTCCCAACCAAAGATATTCCAAATTACTTAGGGGTAAGTCTTCACCAATGAAGTCACTGTCGCTCAGATCCACCCCCTCCAGAAGTATTCGCTTCAACTTTGGACAATTTTCGAGTAGGGCGAGGACTGTGTTTCCGGTTAAGGTGATGGGATTTATTCCACCGTGACCGGCGGAGAATTCCACGAGATCATCCTTGAGGTTTGGGATAACGTATTCCATGATGCCTTCGTCAGAAAAGTGGGGGCCGTTCAGCGATAGCATTTTAAGACCTCGAGATTGAGAGCTGACGATCTCCAATAATTCGTCGTTGAAAACGAGGTGATCGGAGTCCAAGATGAGTTCTTTCAAATCTTTTTTGCATAGCAGGTCGGCTAATTGTTCGGTGGTCGCCTCTTTATTCAAGTGATAATTGTGACAGAAGGATAGTTTATCTTCGATGTGTATTCTCGTCAGGTTTGGTAAATTGGACAGGACTATGTCAAGTGTCCTTAATAAACCACCAGATTTCATGTTAGATATCCACACGGGACAAATGGTTACGCTCTTTACCATGCCGTGGTAATTGAACATGCGTTTAGAAGGGTTTCCATGTAAGATGGCGAAAATTTTTTTCTGAGTAGGCTCTTCAAGATAGAGATGCCTCCAAAAATGTGGAATTGCGGCCTTGGCGAACATTAGGCAAACGTAAATAAGTTGTGAACCGATGACCTTGGAACCCTTATGTTCGATAGAGAAGGATAAAACGTTTTCTATCAAATCGAAGGGAAGTTTTGCTATAGGAAAAGTATTTAATTTCATATTCGTCATATTTTCATTCCTTTGGTGGATGAGTTGAGCGGGAGGAATTTTTTTTTTTAATTTTTTTTTTTTAAATTTTTTTCTGATAGGAGAAAAGAGTAAAGTATATTTATTATATATATATACACAATTTCTGAACAAATACTCTTAAGGAGTAAACAAAAAGTTCGAAAGTAATACGTACGTACGTACGCCTTTGAAATTTTTTTGTTTATCGTTACAATAAGATTACTGCTTCTAACCAAACTCCGATCTTACTGTAAATTATATCAATTGCGATTTACGATAGTGTCGAAGTTTATAAAAAGTGATTGCAACGTTTTACCCTTCTGTCATATCACCTGTGAGATGTTATTCAAACCGAGAGGAATGATTGGTTCGGCATCGGTTTGAAATAGGTCTCGCGTCATCGTGTTATATTTATTCTTTGGTGGTACCGTCGTTTTTTTCGTGATTGTTTAATATGTTTATGTTACGGTAATAGAATCACGAAAAAGATACGCAGGCAGCATATAAAACCATTCGAAATTAAATAATTTTCATTTTACACCAGTGACACACAATTGCAGCGGGTGAATAATAATTTGCGCATACGGAAATAATTTCCTTGACTAATAATATGATTACACCTTCGTTCCTTCGTTTCGTTCCATCCCCCCTCTGAACTACCCACCTTCCTTTTCTGGATCCACGGTAGACACTGTCACCGCCCGCGGGAACTATGGGACAAAAAAAGAATCAACGAGTAGTAGTAGTAATGTCATCAGTCTTTGTGAAAAGAACTTGCCCAGCACAATTTATGTCTTTGAGGGTGGGTGACAATTGTTAATGATTTTGATACTGTAAATTATTCGACAGACTAGTTTAGTCTTGAACAACAGTTGTGACAACCAACTGACTTTATTGTTGACATCGTCACGTCCGCGTACGCACAATAGCGACCTCCCATTTCTTTGTGGCACCCCAGTGATCCTTGTACCATTTAATAACATCATGTTGGAAGGGAAAAAATGGTACAGAGGAAATGTTTCGGCTTCATTTTCTTCTGTTCTTATTATTTACGTTGTCCGACATGTACTGTATATACTGTATGTAACACTCCCTCAATTGGAAAATGTATAATAATAATACATACGTAGTAATTTTGTGAGTGTACACGGGGAACTTATTGGGCCAATGTATATATGGTAAGGACAGTGGTGATAAATCGGGTAACTTGCGGCCGTCCTATCAATATACTGTTAAATCATAAATTTTCACCTGTTTCATTTGTGCTCAACCCCAACAGAAAAAAAAAACGCATGGTTTCTCTTAAAAAGAATGGGTAAAAATCAAATACGATCGTTATCCCGTTAATTTAGTATCATGCTACGATCGAATCTCAACGAATCCACACACACACATATATCACTGCTAATCGTATATATTTAATACCACGTAAATTTTAGATCCGCGCAGGGCATCCGGAACTGCTCTCGAGTTTTTCTTTACCCCAACGAAAGTAGTAAGCGTTGTGCTATAATATAATGACCCATTTTTAGGTTCATAATGCATATGCCCCTGTGATGTCTTCACCCTTATACGGGAATGTGATGGCAAGGTGGTTAGTTGAATGAGTGAATAACCACCGAGATTTTCCTTTCCCGATCTTGATTAATCTGTTTGATTCAACCTACAATCAATCTAACTTTTTCGTTCGACATACTCTACTCATCCAGGATCGCATGCAAACTCGCGTTATCATGCGTCCCTAATTTTCATTGAATGCACACCTTTAAGAGACCAAACCTCTGTCGTCTCCAACATACCATCAAATGAACACATTCCGTCCTCCAATGTCGGTAAAGAAACAAACCAAACAAAAAAAAAAAAAAAAAGCATTCCTGATTCCAATTCGTTTATCACCATTTACCGTCAAAATGCATGTAGCCATTGTCCTTCTTTCATTTCATTACACAAACCTTTCCATTTTGCTTAACGCCCGCCTGGTTGTTTGCTCACCTGTCAGTTTGGCACATGCTTTACCCAAAATGCTTCGCAGCAGTCATTCTGAGAAAAATTTGAACCCGCTTTTTTTTTATTGTTACTTTAGTTTATTCTTATTCAGTACACATTTGGGGTCATTTTTTTAGGTTATCGGCAAAATCAATGCCTTGAACAAAACGAATCGGAAGTACTCAAGCGTCCATTTTTGGAGTACCTTACTGGTGTACTTGATCCAATGATCAGGACATCGAAAGTGGTAAGCAATCTTTCGGCTAGATCAAAATGCGAGATCACGTTTCCCCCAGAGACCAGTTCTGCGGTCGTGCCAAGGGGTATGAATGCTTTACCGTGATTGGTCGGTGGTATGATTGATTGGAATTCTATCTCCTGGTGTATCCGTTAGCATGTACTCGAACAATGGATACACAATTGCCAAACGAACGCCTTTATACCGCCAAGAAAGAAAGAGATCAGAACCAAGCAATCTTTTGTCTTTGTCATCCGTGAACACAATACTGAAGGAAAAAAGAAAAAGAAAAAAGAAACTCACACTCCACAATATCATTCATTTGACGGCAATCTATTATTCGACACAATATTTAAAGGGAAATCATTCTCCACCATAACAATCAAAAACATGGCTTATTAATCAAGGATAATAATCAAAAAAGCGATCAATGGTGACTTATGCGTTTCGTGTTGGTTTTGTCGACGTTATTTCTCACATTTTAGGAAATACAAACAATCATTATCCAAAAATAGAAATTTAAAAGAGCGTCGTTACACATTGGACACAAGGGTGACACCTGTGATATGTAAAGCTGGAAAACAAAATAAAGTGTCGTTATTATGAACAACAAAAAAAAAAAAAAAAAAATTTTTTTTTGAATGTATAAAATCTTCCTTTGTATGGAAAGAAGGCTTAGGTTTCTCCAAAGAATTCCATCAAAATGTTGCTCTCGGCTTTTTCGCATGCTGGCTATGCATTCACCTTTTCATCATGCGTAAATTATACACTGTATGCAGACAAAACTTAAGATCGCACATCGTAAAATTTGAAGGGATAAAAAAAAAAAAACAACGATTTCGAAGTACGGACGCGGATGTGAGAAATAAGTCAAAGGGTAAGGTGGGGTTTCTTGCTACGTCATGAGTGAGTCCTGTCACAGGATGACCACATCCCTTTTTTTTAACAAACTGATGGGAAAAAAAACTGATGCATAATCAGTTTTTCCATTGATTAGTTCGAAAAACTAGAGAACTCTAATGGTGAAAAAATTAAGTTAGCAGCATTTAACAACGCATTACGAAGTGAAACTCGAATCATCCTATGATAGACCAACTTTTTACACGCACTCTCTTGCATACAATTAGTTTGAGGGTGAAACGCAAAAAAAACGTGAACGTGAACAATTAAAGAAACAATCATTGGAAGGGTAAATGCTTTGCGCATTCAATATATTGATGCCAATCTCGTAGTGCATGAGAATGAATATTTAGTCGTTTTTTCCGACGAACAACATTTATTGGGGTCATGCCATTATTAAGTTTTTCTTATCTATAATTACACAAAAATCTCAATGATCGACGGTCCACTTCATTCTATAAAATTGTTCCGTTCTTTCAGCGAACGCTATCTCAAGTTCCACTGATTTAAGGGAATCAATCAAGTATTTTCAAATGACCTTTAGTCAAAGCGCGGTGTTACGTGTGGATCTTACTAAATTATCTTATCATCACTATCGTCATCGATTTAATCTCTGGCAATATCCGCGCATTTGGGTTTTCGACTAAATGTTCCATCTAAATAGTTGTGTTTGGGAAAAAAGCTGCAATGAAATGATGTCATAACTCCATGTCACAATCACGACGAGGAGATGAGTTCCCCGAAAACTTCCTAGTGCACATATCACTAAAACCTCCCTGTCACGGAATTAACATATGCGAACCTTCATTATCACATGAAGCCAAATCTAAAGTCCTATATGGAACACCAATCAAGTTAAGAAAATCCTTGGAGGCGCGGAAACATGTAACTAAAACGAGACAATTATCAATGAGACCACAAAAGATAAACGGGTTACACGAAGAATTTTCAGTATTCGTGTAAATATTTTTGCTATATATCGAAAGTTTATATACAGTAAATTGCGCATATAAATAAATATTTTCTGTTGAGTATTTGTTGTTTGCTTAAAGTTACAATTTCTAAAGTTTCGTGTGACAATAAGGATCCTATAAATAAATTTTAAATTTTACAAAATAGCAATTCCTTTCTTTATATACAGTATTTTTATCGGATCGAAATTAACCACCTTTAATCCTTTAATTAAACAAAAAGAAAAAAAATTTTTTTTTTGTTATTTAAAATTTTTATTATTTAACATTAATATTATACAGTAGATTATTAAATAATAATCATAATAATCACGCGTAATTATAAAATATGATCATAAGATATTAAAAATAAATTTATAATTATAGCAACTTGTTATTAATAAGTTCAATAATTTACAAAATTATTATAAATATTTTTTAAAAAACAAACGCTTTTCAATCTTTTAGTTGCATACAAAAAAAATACTTGTTCAAAAAATTTTTTAATATTACTTAAAAAATATAAAGAGCTTACTAAACTAGTTCAAACTAAACAAAACCAAGTCTCGGCTAGATACTTTAAATTGGATTTAGAAGACAATATTATACTCTTCTATCAGTTATGATTTAATCTCTAAATATCAAAATTATTATTAAAAATTCATTACTATTAATTATCACCAAAAATAATAAATTGCTAAAATACAGTAAGTGGAAAAAAAAAAAAAATAATAATTTAGATTTCTTCAAAGTATTATTAATCTATTTAATAATTTTCTTTAAAGTATCTAATTAATTAAAACTTTGTTTTATTTAGTTTTAATGAACTTAATAATCTTCTTATATTTTTTAAATACTATAATTTGTTAGTTAATAATATATATAAATTAATTAATCATTATATAGAATAATAAAAAACTTTTTTT